TGACTTTACAAATTCTTTGGTGAAACGGTTTGAATTGGTGTTGAAATTTGTTCATAAGTCCCCTTTCTCCTCAATTTCTCTCATAGAAGTTACTCAAAGCGCTCAGAAATATTCTGGAACAAGAATATTGAACTCTGTTTCTTAGTTGAAGATGTGCGCACACAATTTCTCAATTTCAAATTTTCACCGGTGAATCTCCACTCTGCTTCAAGAAAATGAATCATCTTATGTTTGAAAAACGAAGTAGCTTATCCACAATCTTTCATTTCAGATGAAGTACAACGCAAAGAGACGCCACTGGAGACGCACCAAGCTGAAGCTCTAGACTTCCAGTTGTCGAGATGCTGCCAATCTTTGTTATGCATGTTATTGATCTTGTCATGATAAAGTTCATTGTTGAAAGCTGTCGCCACATCCAACCAATTAGTATTATTGTGCGGCCCTCTGGGGAGTGGCATCGATTTGAACGTCTAGAATGATGTCTGCACTTATTTGAGATGGCGTTTCTGCTGATGTTGCTAACATTTCGACCCACTGACGCTTTACTATGCTACAGGTGTTTTGCAGATTCTGCAAACTCGTCGTGCATCTCACGACCAAGGAGTTTTCCTTGGTCGCATTGTGATGGATATTGTCAGGTGACATTACATCCTAATGATTTGTTACTTACTTAGGTCTTTCGTCCCAGTCAAAGTTAGAGAAGAGATTAACAGTTTGTATTTCTTTGTTCTGCATGACAATGAATGGGTAGACGTTGCAATACTTCTATGCCGTACAGTTTGTTAGGTGGTCTTTGGCCATTCAGCAATCATCGTCCAATTACATCTTCAGAGGTAAAAGTGATTCAAACGAGAAAGCCTGCGACTTCAGACCCATCAAATGTCTTCTACTAATTCTCACCTTTCAAACCCGCTCCAATAGGAAGTCAAGACAGAAGTTGAACCTTCCCATAGACCACCGCTAGGTGAATGTCCGCACAGAAATTGAAGGTCGTGTCCTGCGGCTGAGCTACACGAGACATCTGGTGTGATCTGCACTTCATATATTCTATTTCTGGTGTTTAGATCACGCCTACATATTCTACATTCTATAGCTCGTATAACGATACGAAAGGCAGAAATCTCTATGGAGAAACCTTCTCTTATTATTTATCTCTAGATTCTTTGCATACAAAACGCGTCTAATGGCTTCCTCTCCAAGATCTCTTTTCC